ATTGGATGGATGGATGGATGGATGGATGGATGGATGGATGGATGGATGGATGGATGATGTGATAACAAAATTAAACATGTTCAGTAGTAACTGTTTGATGCAAAAGTTAACCAGTGTAAAAAAATAAAAACATAAACGTGTTTAAGCAAAAACATTTTGACACACCTTTAAATTACCATCAATTAGTTAATATGCCTGAACAATAAAGAAGCTCAGTTTTTTTAATTTTTTTTAATTTTATATGTAAATATGTCAAATGTATAAATGTTTAGTCATCCACCCAGGTGAGCTAGAGGAGTTAAGTGGGGGGGAGAGGAGGGGGGAGATATCAGGAAATATCTATATTAAAAAAAACATCCGGACGGATGAACCTCTGCCTGCTAGAGCTGATTATTTATTTTCTACTATTTATGTAGGACTTTTGTTATACTTTAGTGTTTTATTTGAGCCAAAGCACTGAGAAACAGAGTAAATGATGAAGATGAGAGGGGAGAGAAAAGCACAAGTTAAGAGGAGCTGCACCTTGGATAAGATGATCACCTTTAGAAACAGCAGCAGGTCTGTTTGCTGCTTGAACAGGATTTTCCCAGAGAGAGTTTGACGCAGGGTGTCAGATGTTTTATTCTTGTATAACTGGCAGTAGTCAGGGAGGTAAATCTTTCACTGCAAACACCGCGGTACATCCAAACACCTTTTTGCCGCGCGTGTTTACGCGTTGAACACACTTCACCACCATCTCATAAGATTTTCAATGGTAAGTGGTAAATGGACTGTACTTATGTAGCATCTTTCCGTCTTATCAAGATTCTCAAGCTCTTTACAACACAATCTGTGTCCTCATTTACCTCCACACATGCATTCATACCTTTACAATGATTTGTTTAATTAGCTTTGTAAAGAGACTAATCAGTGCTTTTAGATCACATTCATACACCGATGCGACACATCGGAGGCAACGAGGGGTTCAGTGTCTTGCCCAGGGACACTGCTGGTGGATTCGAACCCCCAACTCTTGCACTGGAGGACGGCTGCTCTAACCGCTCAGACCCAGCCGCCAAACTCAAAGCCAAACTTCATCAGAGATTCTTTCTTGTAATTTTGTGAAACACCTAAAAAACCTGTTAGTTCCATAAACATGTACATGTGTTTTATTTCCCTGTTCTACAAAAGCAAAAGTTTGTGTGCCTTCAAATAAATACCATTCAAGTACATTGTGCATGTACCAAGTTGACAAATTCTTAAAATGACTAAAAAAAATGTTCCCCAATTCCATCCATCCATCCATTTTCTTTACCCGTTTATTCCATTTTGGGTCACGGGGGTCGCTGGTGCCCATGTCCAGCAGTCACTGTGCGAGGGGCGGGGTACACCCTGGACAGGTCGCAAGTCCATCACAGGGCCACATAGAGACAAACGAGACAAACAATCATTCACTCTCTCACTCACACCTAGGGACAATTTAGAGTTACCAATCAGCCTAACATGCATGTTTTTGGACTGTGGGAGGAAACCGGAGTACCCGGAGAAAACCCACGCATGCACGGAGAGAACATGCAAACTCCACCCAGAAAGGCCCCTGGACCGGGGTTTGAACCAAGGACCTGCTCGCTGAGAGGCAGCAGCTCTACCAGTTGCGCCACCGTGCTGCGTTCCCCAATTCTGAAACATCAAAATTTATACTGGTCCATGCAAAGATGTCAGACAATGTTCAACTACAAGAATAATAACAGGATCATTTGTCTTGTCCTGTGAAAGAAGCTGTCAATCAAATCTCAGTGAAAACTGCCCCGGGGGGAGTCTGAGAGGTGGTTCAGTCAAACTCAATAAGAATGTATAATCACGTCAGTGATCTGCTTTAAGTAAAACAACGCATCGTTAAAGATCAAGCCAAAGTCGTGTCTTCTGAACAGAAGTAGTTTGTGTCTGCTGTCATGTTTTAAGTGTCTTGCATATCAGCCATAAATGTATTCTTTATTGTGCTCTTCAGGTTCCGACAGATTTTCATGACCGTGTTTGTGTTTTAGTGACGGGGTGTTGTCAGAATTCACATTTTACTGACATTAAAACATTGAGGATTAGCTGTTGAGCAACTTATTGAAATACACATCAAAGCACGAGTCTTTTCAAGTCGTCTTTTATAACAAGTAACACTTCCTGTTGTAGTATTAGTACCTTTAGGCTCCACAGAACCACCAATCTTGTGACTTTGTACCGTTTTCCTTCCAAACCAGCTCCAATCAGCGGCGGCGCTGCTGTAATTGCCATTCTTGCCGCTTCATTTGTGAGCCTCATACCAAGCCGACTGCGGATTTGGGAAAGAGTGGGTGCGGCAGAATGAAAGCGCAATCACAACTAATCAGAGCTTGTCTTGTTTCCTGCCCACAGCGCCCAACACTGCACCCTATGGGAGCCCAGGGAGCGCACACATCTCGCTGGCCTGCCGGTACCTGGTCCTGGCTCTCTCCTCCTTCATCAGCGTGTACTAGCAGAGGCCAGCGCGGACACAATGACTGTGGAGAGCATTTATGAAACCTTTTTTTGACATTGCTGATGGCTGAAATCTGATCGTGGTACGTTTGTTGAAAAGCTGAAGTAGGAAAATAATCAACTACACTTCGTGTGTGGGAAATTTATTTTTTTTTTCTTTGCTTTTTTTTTTTTGTTGAGATTTATGTCATGTAAAAAGCTATGATTATGTTTTTTTTATTATTATTTCATCTCCTATTATTTTATTTTATTTTCTCTGATGGACTGACCACTTTGTGAATTAGTGCTCACTTTTATTTTCCACCTCCAATCATATCAACAGGCCCTGAATTTCCCAGCTGAGGGTTGTTCTTTTTGTTTGTTTGTTTGTTTGTTTGTTTGTTTTTGTTATGCATCTTTTTTCCCTGTGAGGTGATGGCACAATCTTTGTCATCAGTTTTTGTACATGGCTAAAAAGAAGCAATTGTGCCAAGTCTCCGAGTACAAAAATGTCCATATCAGTGTTGTATTGAATGTATTATGGGCTGTTGAACAAAAGAAATACATTTAGATTCCTAACAATAATTTTTTTATTATGAAATATGATGAAAAATACAGAAGATAAGTGAAAGAACAAAGAAGGCAGGGTTTTCCAGCACTTATATTGTCACGACGATTTAGTAGATGAATGAACAGTGTTGTATCTGAAAATGGCTCCTTCATTTTCCACGCCTGCCTAACCCTTACGATGAGGCAGCCATCAAACGTAGCAAAATATACCTTCTTGTGTCTATATTTTTAAATAGCGTAGGCTTTCGTTTGAAAGTGGGACCAGCTTTTCTCATTCCATCAGGAACATTAACATGTGACTGTTGTACAAAATGAACGGAGGCCCTTTTTATTTATGATTTTCTTTAGAACAAATCCAACGGTATAGTCTATCATTTCTTTGAGTCTATGTATGTGAATGTCTAAACAAATGATTGCAGTTAAGAACAAGAAGAGCCCAAGTTAAACTGTTTGGCACTTGCAGTTCTTCGAAACGAATCGCCCTTTGTAGACGTCAGAGCAAAATGCTTGTCTCTGAATTTGGAGAGTACCTACTAGGGGCGCACCGATTGCAGTTTTCTGGCTGATCACCGATTTCTAAAAAGTCTGACCTGCCGATTCCGATTTTGTTTTATAATTGACACTGTCAGGTGTTATAAGGTCACAATGCACCTTCAATTTTCCAATATTATTGTATTGAAAAACAGACCCTTGAACAATATCCTAGAAACAATACAAACTTGTTTTAACTGGCCATGAGGCAGTGCTCTGAAATATACATGAAGTTTAGACAATTGTTGTTAAAACTGCAAAAAAAAATAAAAATCTGTAAAATTGTTTTTTCATGTACAGGTAAGTATCTACGATCTCCCAAAATTAAGGAAATCAGACTGCCGATTTATCGGTGCACCCCTAGCACCAACTGATTCTGGCTGGCTAAAAGCCTACCAGTACACCCATCAGGGCTGGGCTACACTAACCAGAATCCCTTTCTTGTCATTTGTATGAGAAGGGTTTAAGTTTAGCACTCGTGTAATTATCGACCGATAGAGTCCGATCAGGAGGTATTTTCTTTTGGAGCAACTGCAACATTTTGTTGGCTGTAATCAACCATATCAAGGCTCAAACCCAGAGTTTCCTCTATAGCTGGGACCATCAGGGCAGCATATTCACCTCCCTATACCCTTGATTCATGGTGTAAACAGAGATACTGTCCTGTAATGCCTTAATAGTACCATAAACATGAAATTCCCTCTTTAAAGGACACTTCCAGTAGCTCTCGATGAGGTTACAGCTCATAACTGATGACTGAATGTTCATAAAGCATCACTTGACTTGTCCTTGAAATAAGGCGTCCTGCTCAGTAAACTCGCATCTCGTAGGTATTTTCAAAGAAATCAGATGCTTCTGATACAAGTGCTGCATCTTTGGAGGAGGTCCCCGTGTTCAACGAGGCGCGTTTGGTTTTAGACCGTGTTCTTTTTCGCCTCGCAACCGAAGGACTACCTTCTGAAGTTCGCAACGTCTTTTCAACTTACGACTGCAAGCCTGTAGAACAATAGCCATCGCAGTTTTATTATTTCAACAACAAAAAAACAAAAAAAAAAGCACAAACACTGTCATGATTTGATGTGGTGGGTTTATTTTTCAGTCTGCGAAACATTTAATTATTATTTTTTGTTTGTTTCTGAAATTGTTCTTGGCTTGTTTTATAAATTATAAAAATCCTGCACCATTGTTTAAATGTTAAAATATAATGGAAATGGGTCAGACGTATATTTATTCTCTTCCTTTATGAATACGATGTATAAACACAACCTTTGAAACATGTAAAACTAAATATGTGACATTTATTTGAATGAGGAGCAGTGTGGCATAGTAACGTTGTCGGGTTCATTTAGATGCCATAACTGTTGTTGATTTAGGTGCGTTAAAACAAATGTTTGCTATTAAATGACCTACTTTTTGAAACCGAGGGTGTGAACCAGTATATCAGTATTATAGAACAGAATCAATGTGTGTATATTTGGAGAAAAAATAGGTACCTTTTGATCTGTAGAGCCAGTGTGTAGTCATAGTTTTCACACACTTGCGTGTTTGACGATGTGCAGAGAGTCTGGTTGTGCTGCATGTTCAAAATTAACCTGTGTTTTTAAAAAGGTGGCCAATTTTACACATTTCTGAATTTTTATGAATGGAAGCAATTTTTTTTTTTTTTTTTTTCAAAACTTTCGGTTCATAAACCTGGTCTGAAAATACATCCCTCTACAGATCACCAGGCTGTGTTTGTCTGTGGTTTCTTTCAGCTCTTCAGTTCTAATGATAATGATTGTTGTGGCACATTGTGGTGACAGTCTGGAGTTATGCTGGTTGCTTGTTTGAGCACTTAAGACCCTGCTAGTATTCCTTATGAAATGTACTGGATGTTGATTATTTTCAATATGGTATTAACAAGTCCCTTTTATCCGATCCGTATTATTTGCAATAAAAGTCTTCATGTTACACTGTAAACCCACATCTGAGTTAATGAGCAGTCAAAAGTGTTTGTTTTTGTTACTGTGAAAGAAATGCTTAGGAGACATCCTCCTCACAACATCCCTGTAAGTAATTGACCCCCGTGAGGGCAGTATCAAAACCTTTTTACTGATATTTTTTTGTTTGTTTTTTGGGTTTTTTCCATTCTTACATTATTAACGACCAGCATTCAGAGAGTGTCAGCTAATTTACAAGCTTTGTTTTCTGTTAATAAACAAGTATCAGGCCAGATTAGGTTGCATCAGCTGCTCAAAACAAAATCAAAACTCACCGATTTATAAAACACAAATTTTTAATCAGAATCTGTCATTTTTAACTAAATGTTTCTGTTAATGTAGGGGAAGTGCTTATAGAAGGTTATTTGTTCAAGGTTTTAACCAGAAAAGTTCCACAAAAGGAAACTTTGGTGAAGTTTTCCACTGACAGACAGAGGAGAAGCTGGTAAAAGATGCAAAGAGGGACAGTTTAAGAGATAACCAAAGATGCCGCCTGCTGGTATTTGTGTTCTGAATGGCACTGAAGCAACGTGGCTTTACTGGTAGCAACAACCAGATGGTATCTTTACGGCATGTCATCTTTTCTGTGATAACTTACTGGAGACGGGGCGCTCAAATGATGTGCTTCAACAACTGACGTTAAGTTAAGAGTTTTTATTTTTGGAGCTGCAAATGTTGGAATTTCTCTTCTTGAACGCTTTTCTGGATTTTATTTGGTTGTTTGAAAAAAGAAAATGTTTTTTGCTTGATTTCTTTGTTCCTATTGAAAAAATTGCACAACATTAAGGGATAGAAGGTGTTAAAACTTGCACTTACCTGGTTGGTGGTGCAACAACTTAACAATAACAACTGTTTCTGCAAAGGTGACAGCAATTTAATTTACAAATCATAACTTCTACTACTCAAATGTCTAGTTATGATGCCTAAACATAGACAGCACGCAAATACAAACTAAGCAAATAAAAGTAAACAGTTAACTAGAAAAATTACAGTTCCTGCAAAAATGCAATGTAAATGTGTCTTGCTGAAGAACTTGCTGAAAACAGCTGAAATTAGCTAAAAACATGCTGAAATGTGCCTGAAATGGAAGAACAAGTCTTAAGTTAGCAGAAGAAAGCAGAAAGAGCATGTTTGCCCAATTATGCTGAAAGAATCAGAAAGGAGCACTAAAAAGGGGGAAATTATCTGAAAAAGCAGAAATTTGCTAAATAAAAAAAACAGCTGAATAGTAGCTAAAAATGTAGAAAAAAGCTCAAATTACCAAAATGAAGTGGATAGAACATAATTGTGTCCAATTAGGCTGAAAGAAGCAGAAATTAGCACAAAAAAGTAGAAGATATCTGAAAAAAAAGCAGTAATTTGCATTTAAAAAAAACTGCTGAATAGTAGCTAAAGAAACAGAAAACAGCTTAAATTACCAGAAAGAAAACACAATGCACAATAAAGAAATAGGAACTCATTCTGACATTTTGGAACCAACAAATGAATCTGTATGTTAAAGAGGCTGATGAGGTTGGACATAAACCGGCACCAATAAAAGAAATCTGTCCTGATCGAATTCAAAATATATTCAACACTTTTTTTTACCGCCTGCAGAGTTTTGATTCAAAAATAACAGTTCAGCTTTGTTTTACTCCAACGTACTGTTAGGAGGCGAACATGGTTTTAAAGTTTGCAACATTACTACATTACACTGATTCTAAACTTAATGCTAATTGATAAAAAACGATGCAGAACTACAAGCCTGTTTTGTTTCATTAAGGTTAAAATATTTTAAGTAAAAAAACGTTGGTTTGCATCCATTTTTGCTGTAATGTCCAAGCTGTCGGTGTGTTGCTTTTTTATTTATTTTTTTAACAGAATTCATCAGGTTGTGGCAGGTGAAGCATGTCTCAAACTGTTAGTGTGTTTGCAGCGTGCACTTTGATTTATTCACTCGTCTTAATTGTGCAGGATCATGCATATCTGATCCCTGCCCTCTGGCCTGGACCACTGTACAAATGCACTTCACATAAAGTAGGATTAAGCACTGTTTGTGCAGCT